TTGATGGGATAGAGACGCGCTTGGCTTGTGGAGTGGGCATAGATGCCGTGTGTGATTCCCCGTGCTAGGATAGAGGTGCACTTGGCTTGTGGAGTGCATGTAGATGCCGTGAGTGACTCCCCGTGCTGCTCCGCTTTCCTCCCGGCCGCCTGCGAGCGCTTCTTGCGTCGCCGGCCGCCACGGCCCCAACGTTGCCGCCGTTTCGGGCTGTTGCGAAGCTTCGAGCAGGGCCATGAGCGGAGCCGAGCGCGGCGGGGATCAGCTTGTTTGAACTGTGGGGCTGTTTGGTTGAAGATAAGTAAATGAATTCCCCAACCTTCGCATGAGGGGATTTATCACTTCAAATGCCTGTGATTTAATTTCCCGTCCTCTGCTCTGCTGAGAGCTGTTGATTTATCGTGTTGTCTTTCAGTGATCGGCACATACAGGCTTCATGTGTTTAACTCTTCAGGGTTAGAATAAGACATTTTTCTTCCAGATATTTCCATTAATTGATTTTAAACACGTGTTAGGCTGATATTTTCCTCTAGAAATGAAAGAGGAGGGGAAGGTAACCTGAAATACAGACAGGAATATAATGGTGGGAAGTATCAGTGGGAAGTATAGTAGGTCAAGCCCAGGGGACCCATTGCGTGACAAGTCGAGTCCTGTCATCTCACACTCTGCTTTTATGAAGTGACAACGTTACCGTTTCCTCCTCCATCGCTGTTGGGTGAGCAGAGGTTGGGGGGCATCCTTGAACCCTTAGCAAAACCAGCCTTGCATCGTGTTCCTGGCCTCTGTGCTGTGCTCGCTCAAGAAACAGAAAACTCATACAGCTAATACAGTTTTGATGCAGAATTTGGAGTCTTTTTCTTATCTCATGTGTCACAACAATAATACTTAAATCATATTTTACTTAGTTCGATTTTTATAAAGGCCAAAAACGCAGAGCTAATTTCACAAGCCAAGTAACTGTAAATGGTATTGGAATAAAAATATTGGGAGACAGAGTGGTATTTAATAAAAAAAAGGCTTTTGAAATTTGGTTACAAAGGTATTAGCAACTTTCTTGGGATTGCTCGTTAAAGTAGTAAGATGTAGCCGCCATGTACAAAAAGCATCTTCAGATAAAAAGAATGCTGAGTTTATGCATAGGGGAATTTAAGTTAATCACTTTATTTTCTACTTATATTTTTCTAAAAAAATTGTTCCAAGTTTTTATATTGGGTCTTTTAGAAAAAAAACTACAAGAAATGTAAACAAAGACAAAAAAGCAAACTATTTTGATAAATAGCTATTACTGATACATGCTTCAGCCATGCCTATAGAGTGTAAAGAAGCTGTTAATAAACATAGACAGCATTAGAGGAGGCCACCTAAGTATTAGCACACAAAGGTCTTGCGGTGCAGGATTTGTGGAACCAAAACCCCCACCTTAAGGCAGAGCTCAGTCAAGGCTGCATGATGTGACTGCTGTGACTAAGACAACTAGTGTTAATATTACATCCTTAAATATTAGATTTGAAGGACTTTTCTGAATATTTAGTGCTAGGGGAAAAAGAAATACGTACAGAATTCTAAAAAATATGTTTTAATTTCCTGTGTTTTGTTCTTTTAATTGTCTACTTATACAAATGTGTTTTGGACATAGTGGTGCATATTGCCTGAATCTACCTAATTGCCTGACTCTAAGTATAGAATATTCTGTATTTAGCAAGGGTGGCCAGAATTGTTCTTCCTTTCTTCACCATATTGATGTATAGGGAACGTACATCCAAATGCATCCTCTGGCAATCCACATTCAGCTAGATTTCCAAGGCATACGTTGTTAGTTAGTATTTCTCAGAGGGAACTACTGAGGTCCCAAGAAGCGATGCAGTCTGTTTTCTGGCAAAGAACACAAGCAGAAATGAAGCGCTTGCTTATCAAAAGCAGAGGTTTAGGAAACAGTTTATTTTTACACTGGTAATAGTATTTTCCTAATGGGCAAAAACAACTCAAAGAAAGTTTGCCATTACAGTTTAGTGTGTAATGTGTTGCTTTTTGTTTTGCAGAAATGAAGATGCAGTCAATCAGATGGCTGTTACTCCTTTCCCATTGCCTTCCAGCTCTCACTCTTCTATTGAGGTAAGGTTGATGTGCTGTATATTTTTCATTACGGTTTGCTAAATTAGATTAATCATAATTAGATATTCATTATAAATTCAAGCACCTTGTCCAATTAAACAGTAAATCATAAGATGTGTTGGGTTGAAACCTGACAGGTGTGTTCTCCCTCTCCTCCCCCGCTTTTTTTTATTCTTCTCATTTTTTCTTTTATTATTCTGCTGAAAGTTGGCGTGGTACAAAGTGGCAGCCAATAAAGAGTTTATTGCCATACAGGGAGAAAACAAATCTCTGAATGGAAATCTGTTTCTTTTTCAGCCGGTTGGAGTAGTTAAGGTGAGGAGCTTTTGCCTGGAATCTCCATATCTTCTCACAGCGCAGAAAGGAGCATTTCTGAGGGCAGGACTCACATCCTGTCTTCTCCAGCTCCAGCAGGGCAGAACTATCTTCCTCTCTGCATCCATAAAAAAGAATTAGGGTGGCCAACAGCTTCGCCCCGTGCCCCCAGCGCAGACATGAGCTGTTTAGACAGGGAGCTCTCATGCAGGGTGCTGTGGGGGACAGTCGTCCAACACACACCTTCCTCGGGGTGGTGATGCTGTAGCTGGTTTCTGAGCCCCAGTGTTGCCTGACTGCTGTCTTGTGCATCACAAATCCCTGCGGTGTCCCCATGTTGTCACCCTTCTCACATGCCCATGTACTGTAATGCAATTCTGTAGATAAAGCATGTGGTTAGCTTGGCTGTTGCTTTTTAATTCTATTTCTATTTGCTATTTGAGCTCATAAAGCAAAACATGCTTTATAATTCAATCCAGGTTTAGACTTGCCTCGAATTGATAAATTTGGGGCATCAGACTCCAGCTAGCTCAATAAGCCTTGCTGTTATCCTGCAGCTCTGTGTCCTTGCAGGGAATGCTGGCTACATCTGGTGACACCCCTGCTATGGCTTTGACCTGGATGACTCTTCCCCTGCAGCTATAGCTACGGTCAAGCCTGGACTGTGCAGTGCAAGACCTGCTTAGTTTCTGTTTGCCTCCAACTCATTTTCAGATACTGCTTCGGCTGCTTTTTTCCTCCTCCCATAAAAGCAACATGTTCCAAGAGAAACCTGCTGCTGTAGCTGGATTCAACTAACTCTGTGATTTGCACAGCCCAAGTTCGATCTTTGGTGCTTTAATCCTTATTTTTCTTCCCACTATTTTTTAGTGTCGGTGTCTTCACGATGTGCCACAAAGCTTTAGTTAGTTGTGGTCTGTTCTTTGGCCAACTGCCTGTAGTTGCAGTCTCCCAACATGGAGAAACCAGACTTCTTTTTTTTGTCTTAACCTGTAAAGTGGATTTATAGAAATTGAAATAACTTTTCTTCAGCCAACTGTTCACATCTTTTAAAAACAAACAAAAAAAAACTGCCTTTTAGCCTGAAAAACTGAGTAAATACCTAATGTGTGTTACTTATCCTATCCAAAAAAAAAAAAAAAAAGCCAGCTAATTTAATAGAATATCAGGGTACCATAATTACCATATGATATAATGTTAATATTCTTCAGCTTTCTTCAGTTAATTTTCTTGCAGCAGCAGGATTCTCACAGTAATTCGCAGAAGGACTTGAATTTCATGACTGCATTTACCCTTAAAGCTGAGGCTTGTGCTCCAGTGCTGGCATTAGCCTGGCCAGCTCGGTGGCCACGTGCTGTAACCTGGCTCTAACCAGGCCTTGGCTCTTGCTCCAGGCGACGAGTGCTCTGACCTGCTGGTACTGACCCACTTGGGTTTGGTTTTCACAACTGGCAGGGGTTAGTCCACCTTGGAAGGTGGCCCGGATCTGCTAACCTTTATATATATGTGTATATATATATACACATATGTATGTTTGTATACGTATATATACACTTCATGTTGATGCTTGTTTAGCAAAATGAAAGAAAAAGGTGCAAGATGTCCAATTTTAACTAGTATGGGAGATCATATCACATCTTAAAACTGGCATTAATCCTTCCTGCTAGGATTATGGTGGTGCTGAACCTGCAAGCAGCGAAGAAGACACCAGCTTGGAAGTTGTCATGAAAAGCTTGACTGATGAGGAATCCATCAAAGCTGTAAGTGGCTTTAAAGCAGTATTTAGTTATGATCAGGGCTTGGAAGATGGAGACTTCTTGGCTTCGTTTGTTTTCCATCCTCTTTTGTGCTGGTCGTTTTTGTAGTATTACATCCAGTACATTATAAGTAAGAGGAGAATCAAACTTTTAGCTTCATACACATGCACAGTTCTCTTCACGTGTTTTGTGAAATTAAAAGTCAATATAATGTGCTAAAATATTGAGTTGAGAGTTTGTGTGAAGTGCTATGGCCTTCTTGTGACTCTTCTCCAATGACAAGGTTCAGTTTTTGCTCTTGCCACCTGTGCGTGACAAACTTCAGAAAAAAGTGGGTCTGTAAATCATGCTCTTATTTATATTCATAGCTTCATAAGTTCTAAGGCCAAAAAGGCTATTTTCATAGTCTAGTCTTGCCTCCTGAGTAAGAGCTATAGGGTTTTCCTCAGTAATTTCTGCATCAAGCTCATAACTTGTTTAATGTGGTACTGTCAGTGTGCACTGTAATAAATACTGAACTTCTCGTTGATCCAGGTGAGGTTTTTTGTTGTTTAATATGTCAGGGTTGTGTGTTATCAGAAATCTGAAAAGTAGGCTGCCCCGAGTATTGCAAATATGAGCTGAATGTGATATCCAACTACCAGTAAGCACTTAGTTAACAAGCCCATGAAATACTAATAAAAAGGGTGTATTTCATGATACTCAACCACTCGAATCAACTACCCATGTACAACTGATTTCTTTGTGTTCTTGATGGATTACAAAAGAAGTTAGCTGTTTGTAACTGGGATTTGTAGCCTTGTGCAGAGACTTCCCTTGATGGGCTTGAAGATAAATGATTCAGAGCTTTATGATATGCATTTGCAGGTATAATTTGCCTGCTTTTGCTGCTCCTTTTGCTCAGCCTTCCAAGAAACATTTTAAGGCTTACAGAGTACTATGAAAAAATTGTTTCGTTGCGGGGAAAAAAAAGCTCCCATATGGGGGAAATATCAGGAACACATTTAACGTGATATGGACAGTGGAAAAGAAACTGTCTCCTCTTTCCACTTAGATTTTTCCTGTGATCTCAAATAGCTGTTAAGCTGCTTTTGTGAATAGATACCAAAAACTTAATGGTTAGGAGGGGGATTTACAAAAGCGCTTGAATGCCTGTAGATCCAAATACCCCTTCCCTGTTGGTTTCAGATGGGCCAACTCTTGATTCAGAGGCATAAATGGATGCAAATAGTGGAGACAGACATGCCAGGAAGCATCGTAATTTCAGAGGTTTATTTCAATTAAAATTTTAAGATTGCAAGGCTGGATATGGCGATTATCTGTAGGAAGAATATCTTATTTTTTTGCAAATAGTGGTAGCATTTGGTCGTAATCAGTTCCTGCTGTGCTGACCAGAAGGAAATGGGTTTGTGGTCGGATCAGCATTAAATACTGCAGTGTGGCATGGGGCAGCCTGTTATTTTGAAGAGAAGAGATTTTTGTTATAATCTTTTAGAGACTCTTGAGGCAAAAGAAAACTGTCTGTTTTTCAAGCCCTGATGGTTGCCACTAGAGCCTAATGCTACTTCACCAGTGTTATTGAATTTCTTAGTAATATATCATGGGACATTTGGAATGCAAAAGTCAACATGTAAGATCAAGTTCACTGAATAAATAAAAAGTATGTGCTTATCAGCAAAAATCTTCCCCAAGTGTGTACACTTCAAAGCATGGACAGGCTGACCCGAGTGGAAGCTATAGTAAAAAATTCAGATGATTTTGAATCCATTCATAGCTGATAAATTTATCAGTCTGTCCCAAGATACTTTCCGTTGTCACTTCATCACTTGATAAAATATAAAATTATTAAGGGACGTCATCATAGGCTTGCACGATAACGGGGGGAACGAAAACAGCTCTGTTCCTGGACAGGAGCCAGTGCAAATGCTGGGCAGTATATGCATGCTTGTTAGCTGGTATTTGAGGTGACCTGATATAAAGATATGGTTTTTGGAGGATTTTAGCTCTCTTGGTTTCTCTAAGGTGTTGCTGCGGGTGCGTGGAAGTGTGTGTGTGTGTATATACATGTACATACACATGTATATGTGTGTATGTATATATATATGCACACACACAAGTGTGTATACATATATGTATGTATTTGTACACAGAGGCTTTTAAAAAGTCTAGTATGTGATGCTCTCAGAATTTTTATCTTTATTAAAAGGAAAATGGTTTGGGTGGTAACTGAATGTGCTGGTGACCACCCTGCATTACTGGTGTCCTGGCAGAGCCTTGATCGTGCAGTGTCCTGTAGGTGGGAGAATTAAATGGATCTTGGATTCCTGAGAGCAGGTTCCTTTTCCATAACCTACTTGAACAGTGATGTGTCCCAGCACAGATGGAAAACATGTCCTTGAAGCAGCAGCAAATCGGAGGGACTTTGTGAAAATGCTTTTAGATGCTTTTGAGGGCATTGAATTAGATTAAAACAGTCAGGTCACAGGCTTATAGCACATAAATGGGGGACATAATCCGGAACACGGGGGGTTAGAAATCCTGTGCTTTGCCCAGGTACCTCTGACACATTCTGATGTAAATGGGGAGGATTAAATGGTTTTAAAGGTGATGTTCAGTGTCCCCTAGATGTCTGAGAGGAAGTTTGTCATGTATCAAAATGAAAAAACAAGATATGAAATATTTTTTCACTTTCATTATAATAATCTGTCATAAAATGACAAAACAATTTTTCCATTTCTCCCCAACCCTTCTGATAATACGGTGAGATCATTTGATTTGATTTTCTTGCTATCCAGACAAATAACAGTTATAGGTAGAGCAAATTCAGAATGTAAAAGAAAAAGCGAAGTCAGGAAGAAAGCTGACTGGGAAATGTAATTTCACAAAACTTCAGGAAACAAGGCCAGTATTTTCAAGCTTGGTTACTTAAAATTTAATACTTTTCTTGTGCATGAACTGTCATCTTAATGAGGAATTCTTCTGAGAGGCTGAACTCTCACTGTTGTCTTTTGAAGTTGCATGCACAACATTTCTGCAAACTAGGATATCAGACTTGTTTGGGTTTTCTTACATTGGCAAGATAACTAAATCTGATTTTATGATCAAAGTGGTCTAAAATTGGCTAAGAGGTTACAGAGGAAAGATACCAAAACTGCTGCTGGCAGTTGTAGGAAACAGAAGGAGGAGAGAAAAATATCCTTTAGTGTATTACAAGGATATGGAAGGAAATAGGGATGCAAAGGGAGCCGGCGATCGCAGCACCCGCGTTTGAGATACTGATAACGAGACAGGACGAGGCTTTATCAGCAGCTACTTTATATAAGTGCCAGCAGGGTGCTCAGTGCTGCTGAGAGCTGCCAGAAGGAGTGAGGGGGAGTCAAAGAGATGAATTTGGATTTCTTTTGGCTGCAGGCACTGCCAGGTCTGTACAGGTGCCTCTGTGCTGGAAGCTTCTCCTGTAACCTGGGCCCTGCTCCCACTGCGCATGGGAGCTGCTGTCCCGTGACACCTCAGTGTCCTTTAGAGACATTAGAGTTCCCAGTTCCTCAGGAACAACATAGACAATGTGGGATAATCTCCTCCAAAAATCCCTTTCTTTATTGTAAGCCCTCAAAATTTGTGAGTATTTTTGTTTTTAGTAGCTTCCCCCAAACTTCAGTTAATTCTGTGAATTCTTGGCTGCTGCTCTGTGTTGTGCTGTAGGTGTACTTGTATGATGCGATATCACTGAGTTCAACCAGAACCATCATTTATAGTTTTAGTGGATATTTTGTGTAATGTGATATTTTCAATACACCTAACTTTCCTAAATTTATTTTTTAGGATGTGAAATTCAAAGTTGACAAGCCATCTTTAAAAAGCAGGAAGTGGAGGAGCAGCTCCCAGAAAATGTATGTGCATTTAAATTAATTGGTAAGATTTTCTGGGGGCTTGAATCAGTTGAAGATTGTGCCTACAACAGTGTTTTTTTTAATTGAGGAAGCATTAAAATAATTTTACTGGGCAGAGGGGATTAAAAAATGTCTTGCTTTCCTTTAAGCATGTGGAAAAATATCACCCTGGCTAATGTCAAGGATGTTTTTTCCTGTTTGAAAAAGGAAAAAAAGTTGCAAGTTGCTTGATATGACAGATGAAGTTTTGTCCATACTGCACAAGTATTTCTGCAATCACAGTTATCCGGTCTACCTGATTTGCCATTTACTTTTAAAGATAATGTCTTCAGTTCATCACCTCTTTGTACTCTTATTTCCCTCCTGTTAACCTGGCAGATTTAGTAAGGTATGATGAGCAATAGCAAAGGACAGTATCAGCTATTGATAATTGATCTACATTGCTTCTGCTTTGCTTTGGTTTTAGGTCTTCAACCAGATCAAGCAATCCAAGTCTTCAGCAAAAGTACCAGTCAGCTTGCAGGAGATCTCCCTGGTGCCAGCACCTACTTACCTTTCTCCAGAGGCAGAAGCCACCAGCCATAGTACGGACAGTTACGTTTTTTCAGTGCCTATTTGGTACCCTAAAATAGAGGATGTTTTTCTCTTTTAGCATCCAGTGAGCTTTTACAAAGAAGGGTCAGGCCAGAGTGTTAGCGGGCTGATGTTTTCCTTCCATATTGTCAACAATACATGCTAACAATACATGCTAACAATACATGAAACATTCTTGTTGTGCCTTTTTGCCTTTGAGTAGTTCCTGACAACATGGTGATATTGTATACCTGGCATAACTTTCTTTTTCATGTCTAAATGGTGGCCTGACTCTCTCCGGTGCTGGACATGCTGCGATCTGGAACACTGTTGGTTCCAGTGGGCTGTGTCATTGCCACATCTACCCCAAACGCAGGATGCTTTGCTGTTGTGGTCTGGACTGGATAGGTCACATCTGAAGTAAACGCTCTCCCAGGCATTTAGAACCTGCAAGTGTAGTGAGTCACTGTAGTAAGTGACTTAAAATATTCTTCTATTTTGATTTAGGCTTATAAAGGTGAAGAGCAAAATATGAGAACTTAATTGCTCTCATATTATTTCATTAGCCATTTTTGTTTTATTACTTTATACTGTAAGTCACCTCTCTGTTTTTCATTTCTTAGGCATCTTTCCACCTCCGATGCCTGTGGATCCAGCAACCTGTCCTATCATTCCGGGGCAAGAGATGACTATAGAGATATCTAAGGGTCGATCAGGCCTCGGTCTCAGCATCGTTGGAGGGAAGGACACTCCTCTGGTGAGCTGCTGTTCAACTAATATTCATCGTCTATTTTAAAGAATGAGAGAAAGGCAGAAAAAATGTAGAAACTAATGATGCCATTAATCTGTTAGTGCTCTAACGAGTTGTTCAGCAGCAAACAGCCGTGATCTCTGATACTGCACTGATAATTTTGCCTTTTATCAGATCTGTTGTTTTCTATTCCCATTTAAATTGAAATGCGTGTCTTTGAGTGGTATATTCTGTCATTACGTACAAGCAAGTATTCTTTCTTAGCACATGTGAATTAAGAATTTCATGCAGGTGAGTTACCAGAAGGATTGGAGCACAAACAAGTGTCAGAGAGATAGAGCTACTTCAGCAAGGTTAACACCAATGCCTTGAGAATATAAATGCTTAGTAGGTGTTCAAACAAACTATGATATATGGCCCTGCCAGCAAACGCCCTCGCTGAACAGAGGTAAAACAAAGATAATCTTTTATTGTTTTCTGTGTCTTTTTATTTAATATACTTCTGGTTGTGATGTTTTGAAAAAAAAATTATCTTCAGCTCTATTAAAATGTATCAGTTCAAGTGTAAAATCAGCAAATCGGTTATGCTAAACCTCTCATCTCTGCTCTTGCTGTGTCCACTCCATTGTTTGTCTAAGAGATGATGTTTTACAGAATGCCAGGTTTTAATCTTTAAAGTTGAATTTAGTTCCTTCAGTAAACAAGTCCTGTTGCAGAAGTTCACTCACTAGCTGGTTTTGAAATAGGTGAATTTTGGATCAAAGTGGCAGTAGCACTATTCGTAGCCTGTTTCCGCAGGTGTGGAACAGGGATTTGCTCCCTTTCCAGCTGGCACACACAGCAGTGTGTCCTGGAGCTGACCCGTTGGGGACAGCCTCAGCACCAGGCCTGGCAGACAGGAGCCGCTTGGCATGACCGATGCCACTCTGCACATCACCAGTGTGGAAGCTTTGGCTTCTGAGCTTTTACCTTTTTACCTAATTTATTGGTATTTTTTAGTAATAAGGTTTGAGGGAAGCTGTTCATCAAAGGATTTGTCCAATGGAGGCAAAGAGATGCTGTGGCAAGAGCATAAGGGCTTTGTCCATGCAGTATGGAAGTGGCCTTGCCATAAAAATGGTTAAAGGATTACAGGCTTGCGTGGAGTGACAGTGCTCATTTCTGAGTTGTTTGGGGTCATTTTAGATGTATGATGTGCAGTCCCATAGTGGAATAATAAATCTGGAAGCCTGCTGAGGAGAAGTACTGCTTAAAAATGAAATATAGTCACAGCTTTTAAGCTATAACCTTAGGAATCTCATCAGAAGTCACAAAGTGGAGACTTGAAATATACAGCTTGTGTGCAGGAGGTTAATTTTGTCAGGAGGTTGGAAAGCAATGCCTTAACTCCTGTTAAATTTTTGTCATTGAGAAGACCATCCCATTAAATTTATTTTTTTAAAAGTTTCAGCCAAGCAAAATGCTGTCAAATTGGATGTATTGCAACCAGGATTGTGGCAGCAAGCTTCGGGGAGGAGAGCAGCAAGCCGGGAAGATGGAGCTGTAGGAAGGGCATGGGAAGGAAAGATGCATCCTTGAAAGCTGTCTTCATGGAGTTGATGCTTGGAGTCCTGTTCTAGGGGCTGATTTTTCATTTTTCTTCCTCCTCTGCTTTCTTTCATTTAACCTTCTCCCGCACCCCTGCCTGCACAGCGCACATGGCCTCTCCGTTAAAGCAATTAAGCGGCAGACCGGAGCTGGCTGAAATACAGCGCGCTCCATTTGTGAGGGGTTGTGGGTTTTTTTTTTTTTTTTTTTTTGGTAGTAGTCCAATCAAACTTGTAAAAGCAACTCTCAGGGAATTTAAAAAAAAAATATCTGAAAAAGGCTTTGGGCTCTGGCTGTGCTCCCCAGGACAGTCTGGCCCTGTTGAGCTGCCTGTTGCTGAATGATGCATACTGGCTCGTGAGCCCTGCCACCACCAGAGCAGCTATAAAGCTCACAGGGGTGTCACTGTGACCAGCAGCTGCAGCAGGACAGCGGGGCAGTGCCTGCAGCCCTGGGCTCTGGAAACCCCAGCGAGCTGCTCGGGGCTCTTGTGCGCTGAGCGGGGACAAGTCTGGGCACTCAGGGGAGTCCCCAGAGCTTCCAGCCTTCGGTGTTGGTGGCAGCGAGACAGGGTTGGCACGGCCAAGTGGCCCAAAGCTGCCACCAGACTGATCCCCCAGGACACCAGAGTGGCAACCCAGGTATTCTAGTGGTTTACCATAAATTTAGGAAACCTTGCTTAATTTTTCTGCTTTTGGTTCATTGTATTTTGTGCAAGTTGTTTCAAGCAAAATAATTTAGGTCAGGTAATGAGCTTTTTCCTCTGAAACTCTCTTTGCCAAAAACTGTGTGTGGTTTGCTCTTGAAATGGGCTGGGAAAAGGGCATGAAGGAACAGCTTGAAAAAAAACATTGTGGTTTTCCTCCAGATTTGTGACTCATCCTACTCCCGTCATCTCTCCCAAGTGAGTGAATGCTGCTACGTCTTGTCCAGCTCGCGGCGAGCTATTCCTTATAAATCAGGGTTGTCAGTTTACAGGGATTTTATCCTCAGCAATATGTGAACAAGCCTTGCTCCAAGATGCAGAATTTTCTTGATAGGTGGGAGCGCTGTTTTCCTTCTCACTGCCTCATTCCTGAGCTGGTTGCCTGTAGCTGTTGACACTCTGTTTGCTGCCTGGCCGATGGGAACACCTGGGCATGCTGGGGGTAGGCAGCATTTTGCAGGTTAACGGTGACTTGGTCTATGGACGTGCCATATCTGGATGACAGTTACATTCTGCAGAGGCTCCTATGCTCTAAAACAACAATTTGTAGGACTGGTAGCCTAAGGGCAAACTGGAAGTAGAGCTGCTAGGAAAGCTGTTGAGTATTGTCTGAAACTTAGAGAAAGAAGGAAGGAAGCATTCCTGATCCTGTGTCTTTATTATTATTAAAAGCAACAAAAATGAATCCTTTGCATATAATTTTTATATCAAGTTGTCCATTCTGAAATGTAAATATATATATAATTTGCTTTTGTTTTCAGCTGGCTTTAATAAATGGCTTTTTTAAGGTAATTAACAAATGTTAGGGACTCCATCCATAAAATGTAGACATTCACAAATCCAGGGAACTGAAACACCTTAGCAATGCTCCAATGCCTGCACTCAGCTAAGAGCGGGTGCGCGAGTTAGTGCAGGAGTCGTGAAGGAGGAAGGGCTGCTCAGAGCTCTCCAGCTCGTGCTGGGAACGGGGAGGACTGCCACAGAGCTGGACACGGGAATATTTCGGTTTATTCTCCTGATCCAGGTGAGTCACATCTGGCACCGATGCCGGCAGTTAAGGCAAGGGAGGGATTTTTAAGTTGCAGCTCTTGTGACCACGAGGGCTGGTGTCCCCACGAGGAGCTCCCTGCCGCTGAGAGCAGGGTTGGTGCCGTCCCTGCTCGGTGCTGTGCTCAGGTACCTGCACGTGAGGACTCATGTGGCTCCCATTGAACACACAGGCTCCCACCTGCTGGAGCTTTTTTCCCCTCTTGGCTCCTCCTGCCCTGGTTACATTTAGAATCAGACAAAATAATTAAAAAAAAAACTTCATGACTTAACACACAGCTGAGGTCTGCAAGGCTTTTTGAGTAGTCATCACATAAAGCTAGGACTAAAACAGTGTCAGTGCAGTATGCTTACCTTATAGCTGCAAAGGAAAGGCAGGATATGGGCCTCAGGAGGGTTGCTGTAATATATTGGCTATAGATACCGATGCTGTTCAGTGTCTTGCACAAAGAGCAGAACAACAAAGCAAAAAAAGAAACTCTTAAGTCGTAGAAACTCTAAATTTTTAATCATGACTTGAGCATTGTAGAGGAAAAGTTTGTGGTTGCAAGGGAAGAGTGTTTAATCACTTCTTAGCCATCACCCACATTTGTAAAATAGAAGGCAGCCTGGTGATGGAGTGGGTGGTGCGTTTGCTGCCTTGAATCCTGGTGAGACGATGCAAAATGAAGTTGGTGGGTTCATGTTCATCGCAATTCCAGAAGGAGGTTAGTGCGCAACAGCGTGGAGGAAACAAACTGCTTTGCACCCAGGTTATCACAAATGGGAGTTAAAGCAGGAGGTTCTGCAAATCAGGCATTTGATAGATCTTTGGCAAGGGTTTACTTGACCGTCCGGCTAGCTTGCTTAGCAGAGTCTTGCTCTAAGAAGTCAATATCTTGCCAAAGCATAAATCAACCATAAAACTTAATCTAAAAGTATATGAAAGCAGTAGGACATATCAGAAAGGATTCAGGAGCAGCTTTCTAGCTGGTAGTTAGAACCATTGGCTTTGGACTTCAAGTCTCATGTGCCTTCAGGATCTCACGCGTTCTTTATAACCTGTGTTATGCACTGTACATTGTAAATTTTCATATTTTTATTTAATAAAATAATGAGCGAGAGAGTTAACATTTTAGTACATAGTTCTGTGTTTTATTATTCCCTCTAAAATGAGCATGTATACATTTTGAAAAAGTTTGGTTTGCTTTGGCCTGTGATTCATAGAAACATAGCTCTTTCTATCATTCTGACTTAAGTCATATATTTTTATACTAAACATCTTATTACCTTAGTTTTATTATTTCAGAATCAAAGGAGAGCTTGCAAATGTCTATGACTGCAGACTGAAGGAATGTTAATGAATAGTGCCATTGAATTTTCAGGTTTGGGCTTTTCTGATCTTAGAGAATATAACTGTAAGCAAAAATATTATGCAAGCTGAATAAAATTTAAATAAATAAGGACCAGATGTAACTATAGGGGCCTATAAAATGTAATACAAATATTATCCACTTCCTTAAAATAAATCTGTATTTTAGTATGAAAAATTATATTCATATTGATGTTGTGGATAAATCTTTTTTATGAAATTTGGCAAGTGAGCACCATCTTTTGCAAGGGCTTGTACTTAAATGGGAAACAGACTTTTTGTTTTGACCTTGAGTAGAGAAGTTTTTCAGTATCATGCAACGTGAAGCATTTTTACATTAACACAGTAATACATTTTTACATTATATAGCCTGTTTTATTACAGTAGTGTTTGGCTTAGGATTTTGGGTGCCTGTTAATGGTTTGTGAATGCTAGCAATTGCAAAATATTTGAGTCTTAGAAGAGGTGTATGTGGTACGATATCCACTAGATAAAATTCTTAAGCCATTTGCTTTGATTCGACCTTCAGCTTTTGCTGCTGGACTGTTATCTTTTAGATTCCATTTTGGTCTGTGAATGGAAGATCATAGATCATAATGTAACAGCTGTAATTTCCTCTGCCTACAAGTAACCAGCAGCTGGATTTATTTTAACTATCGAAAGATTCTTGTGTGGGGCTAATTCTTCAGTGAAAAACACTGTACAAGCGTCTGACTTCTGCTTTATCTGTGAACTAGACTGTAAAAATGAAATGACAATTTTACTACTCTGGACAAAGTATAACACAAGCTGAAAAGGAAATAACTACTGATATTTTACTTGCCCTGGGAAAGAGATAAGTCTGTAATCCTGCAGTCATCAGAGACCCTTGTAGCTTTATTGTCTTTAATAAATGTTAATTTAGTGAAATGTTTGTACTATGTAAGGCACTTGTTTGAAATGTGTGTAATATTAGCTTAGAAAAACACATTTGGTCAACCAAGTCAGAAAACATCTTTTCCTGGACATTATTGTGTGTGTAGCATGCTGTTTTACTTCCTGAGGAAAAGGACTGCCGTTCAGGCATGGGTGTTAATTGTAGTTAATGGGAAGACTTCATTCACCTAACTGCAAACCGAATTAGGGTAGAGGCATTTAAAATTCATACAAATCCAACAGCTTTCCCAAAACTGGTGTCTCTGTTTTGGCCTGGACATCCAGCATTAGGTGGATGTCTGTGTCCAGAACTGTCCATTCTGGGAAGCAGGTGCCTTTTCCACTCCCCATCTAATGCTACTTGAGCTGGGACAAATGGACGATGACATTTTTGGTGGCAGAGAGGGCCTTGTTAGGTAGGGGACACAACCCTGGCTCTGGTTTCTCAGGACTGTTCTAGTTTTGCCTGGAGATTCCCGTGTTAAATGCCTACATGCTTTGGAAAACCCAGGCTGGGATCTTCTCACACCTCTTGTCCTCCTGGCAGGGCAGAGCTGCCTGGGAGCCTGCAGGAGCACAGGGAAGATAAACATCAAAATACAGTTAATATTAGTTCAGCCAAAGGAAATAGGTTGTCATGAGTGATCTACATTAAGTATATTCAGTGCAAGTCTCTTCATCAGAATTCAGACCTTTTTACGTGTCAAGTTCAGTCAACACCAAATACATGGCATTTCCTCTGCTCCAATTCCTCTTCCGTACTCTTCCATCTTTTTAGATGATAGACCTTGAACAAAATAGCCATAGTATTTGAAATATTAGCCTTCTTTGTGTGTTGTTCTTTTACTCCCTTGCCTTCTACTCCCAGCGTTCACAACTAACTCCGTAGTCTGGTTGCCGATTTTTCAGTGAAAAGGGCAGCTGCTTTGAAAGCTGCTGCTTTCCTGAAGAGCATCTGCACAGGAGAAACTGCACAGCAACTGTCTCAAATGTTATAAACTTGCAGCAAATTGGAGCCGTCCCAGCCCGTAGCCAAGCTGCTCATGGGTCTTTCTCACCACTCTCTATGACCCTGATGGTTTAAGGCTCACGTGATGAGGAGTTTTCCTGAAAACGAGGCTGACGTTGTCACCTTTCTCCCCAGGACTTAATCAGACAACACAGCGCCAGCTCTGCCCGAAGTCTCTACCCTAGCAGCTCTTGACATTTAAGATACAAACATTAAGCTGTTCTTAACTGAATTTAAGTCTTAATGGGAGTGTTTCCTGTTTGTGCACTCTGCTGATGGGTGAGTTGATATCCTCACCCTGCTGGGGCTCTGAAGCTGTTGTTAATCAAGCAGGAGAAATGTTCACAGCTGGGGAGCTGTCGGGACCAGATTTCTCTGAAGTTCAGGGCTCTCCCCATAGTGTGCATGAAAACAGTTGCTATGTAGTCTATGCTTTGCACATTCTGCAAGTTGTGTTCTCCATAAATACAGTCTCAAATGGGCTGCTGATTTTTGTAGTTTTGTCTTGCACTTTCTCTGGAATAGTCGTTTGTTCTGCGCATCTTCAAGAGGTTGATCAAGAGATTCTGTGAACTCTTCTGCTTCTCTGCCCTTTCTGCCACTGCGTTTCTCCCATCAGCAAAGAAGCTCTTTAGTGAGAGTCATTATGAGAATTATCGCAAGGGTGTCTCCTTGATTCTACAGGACTATACAACCACCGTGTTACTGTGCTGCTAGAGCAGTAGAAATTGGTTGCGGCTCTGCCATGGCTAGAGTTGGAACCTTGCAAAATGCATTCTAATGTGTACCCCATTGCAGCTTGATAAACATACACCCCATTCATAGGTTTGATGTATATCGTATATCAACCAGGGCTATTCCTGCCGTGTTTTGGAACTATTCTGGCTTGCAGATGGATTTTTTTAGCTGTATAGTGTGTATAATAACAGTGTGTTCAGCCTCATTCCGCTAACTACAGAACCTTTGGTTTTGTTAGGCTTCAAAATACGCCTTGCCCAGACCAGGACAGAGCTCCAGCAGTAGCAGACAAATTCCCTTCTACTTTATCTTCTAACAAATCTTATGGTTGGATACTTCAGGTTTACACCTGCCACCATGGGGTCATCTGTTCCCCTGTGGAGTTGTGGATTTGCAAAATAGGAGAGAGAATTGTCTAAATTCCACTGTATGAGCTTTATTTGGGAGGCTCACGGGTTTCTGAAAGTATTGATGTGGCTCCAGCAGACAGACCGTCCAAAACACATCTGTATGCAACCACTGTGCAAGAATGGCATTCGTAGACATTTCTCAGTTACCTTGTTGTTGCCAGGATTATTCAGGTATTCCTTTGATTTTCTGCTTCTCTTTACAGTTCTCCAACCTTCCCTAGTCTTTGTTCCATAGGAAGGTTCTGTAGAAATCAGAAACACCCTGTTAAGAGTATATACTCTGGCTTGTATTCTGCATCCTTCCGTCATATCCAAGCAATGTTAAACTTTGCATAATTCCCAATTTGTATAATGTTCTCAGACTAAGGAAATGTTCTTTATCAGGATATATGAAGATTAAAGCTCTAGTTTTTTGAATGTATTTGTCAACCCTCTGAAGTAGATACTTTTAGCAACTAGATACTTTCCTTTAAGTAATAGTCATTTTGATATGATCGGAGTGTGTTTATTTCTAAATTCTGCACTAACAGTTTGAGATTGTGCCAAGCTGTATCATGGAGAGCCATAATCTGTGTGAAAATGAGAGGGGATCAAGTGGGACAGGAGTGGGAAATCCCATAGATGTAGTCAAGTTCGTAACCTCCATTTGGGCATCGACATCTTTCCCTCCTCTTTGTTATCGGTTGATTTATTTGCAACTATGAAATGCTTATTCAGTATCAGTAGTTTCCCAATGGGGTTTATCGTGGATATTCAAAACAAGTGGGGCCTTATACAGATCCCATTAAAAGGAAAAAAGACTATTTCTGAATTAAATGTGCTTTCAGCTGATCTCAGAAGTAAAGGAGGAAAGATGTCTATGTATGAGCTGAGGAAGGTGGGTGTGTCATGTTTATGCCATAAACTGTTTAAAAATCTCGAGTATGCATCATGGACATACTGCTGCATTATGTTTTTAGTGTATTTGGTAAGACTAATTCAACTGCACTAGTTTAAAAAAATAGTTAAGACAGACATTATTTTGGCACCTCGGATGCTTCCTCCTTCAGAGTATGCACAAATAAAACAGGAATGGTCCTTTTTGTGCCATATATATTTTTAATTATGTTATGGGCCGGAACCCCAGTGTAATACTGAATTGCTGCCTTTTCGAGCAGATGATGCAGATATTCAAACTGATAACATTCAATAGTTCCTGAATCTGAGCTTTACGTATGCGTGGTTTTACGCGTATTAATCCAGTAACACTGGTAAATGCTGGTAGCTCCGATACACTGGCTATTTTTAAAGCAACTGGAAGCGGAAAGCAAACTTCAAGGAATATAAGTGAAGGTTCCTTGCTCTGAGGTTAGGAAATATAGCCCAAAAGTTCCTAATTGGACCATGTGTGTGCATGCCCCATCTGCTGTCATTTGGCCACACGCGGTTTTTCTATTGAACCTCCTGTTCATCCCGTGTACCCTATTGAGTGATGTTTTTTTAAGAAGCTGGTCAGTATTTTGGACTGCCTCGTGGGCCGTTTGTAAGTGCCTGTCTTTGGGGAGAGTCTGCAAAGCAGAAGCGAAACGTGTTCTAGAGCAGAGAGCCCAAGTCACTTTTTTCCAAAGGGATCCGTGATCGGTCTCAGGTGAAAAACCACGTGTCGCTGTCACCCGAATGGCTTTTGCCGGGGCAGTTGGCTCATGTTGGCCAGTGCGATGCTGCTGGCAGTGGCTTCGTGGGGCACCGTGCTGGGCGTTAGCTTTGAGGGACGTGGCATTGAGTGGTGGTGTCTGGCTGTGCCAGCCCGTGTCCCTGCTGCTTCGGGATGGTGACGTGACAGCCAGGCACATGGAGCAAGAGCGTTGGCCGGGGTCACGTCCCCCTGAGAATGGGGTATCCCATCCTGGGGGAATGCACGTCCCATGGAGACGTCCCGGTGCACGGTTCTCCAGCCTGGCTGCAGGCAGGATCCCGAGCTGCAGCGGAGCACGGAGCAGGCCCTGCACCTATCTGCGTGGAGGGGAAAAACCCCAAGAAAACCACAGCAGAACAACGGCAAGGGAAAGTGCCCACCGAGAACACTGGGCTCTTTGTAAGGCTTTTTCTTTGGGGACAGCTATTGCTGGCAATAAGATTAAATGGCTGCAACCTTCCCTGCAGCTACATCTGCCACTACATTTTCCAGGCTCGGTAATGAGCGAGCGGCTGCCGTTGTGCCTCTCTTCTGGATTTCATTTCTTGCAGCTTTAACCAGCGCTGTTCACCACGAGGCATGCGGCCCTCGCCGAGCGCGGAGGCCTCTGCCAAGTCCCTACAAATATTCATAGCTCCAGAGAATCTGGTTTTAAATAATATCATAAAAAGTAGATGATATTAATGTAATAGTTCACACTGAGTTCACGTGTTGCTGCTGCCAATGTATAAAAATGATAGAAGTTCTTGACGAGGCTACCCTGAAGTGTCAGACAAAAAATGTCTGCCCTTCTCCTCCACTATGGGAGTTTTGGCTATGGCACTCGCATTCTTAGCACAGAGGGTTAGGAAAATGGACATTAGCTTTCTCGATCCTGCTGTGCAATTCCGGACGTCTTCCTCACGCGGCTGCCGTGTTCCCGCAGGACGCCATCGTCATCCACGAGGTCTACGAGGAAGGGGCGGCCGCCAGGGACGGCAGGCTCTGGGCCGGGGACCAGATTCTCGAGGTAAGGGGGCCACGGAGCATCTCGGTATGTGCACGTTAGCACGTACGTTTGACGTTTCTCACACATGCTCGTGTTCAATGCCAGGTAGGTTCCTCACGAGGAAAATGGGGATCATTTAGCAGGATCTCTACTTCAGGCTGCTTTTCTGCCGCTAAGACTGACATTTCCCTGTTTATTCACGTAAGCTGAAAGCACAAATGGGGACTCAGTTCACTCGGACGAGGCGGATGATGAGGTCCGTGTTGGCCGCTTGTGTCCAACCGCTCCGTATTGCCCCTCCATCCAGGCCAGCACCGAGCGGCCGGCGCTGCCGCAGGAGCTTCCGCGTCCTCTTCCACGTGGAAAGTGAGCGCCGCTGCCGGTCAGCCCTCACAGAGCTGCTGGGGCCAACCCCAGAGCTGGTTTTAACACCCGTGAGCTGGTTTGATTTTGTGCTCACCCTTCTCTCCCCTCCTCTTGGACAGGCAGGGGTTAAGGCAGAGCCGCTGCTGTGCGGATCGTGGCCGCGGGGGCTCTCGCGCAGCTGTTTGCAGGGCCTCACCGTCGGAGCAGGACAAATTCCCAGCATGGCCATTAAGGCTTTTGTGTGTAGGGTTAGAAAAATAGCAAGGGGCACTCAGGGAGTTGTCTTTACAGCTCTTGCACAGACAATATATATATATATTTTTAGTGTTAGGGCTGTATGTTGTTTTCATTTTACAAATAGCTATGTATTAACAGGGCATGATAATTAGCCAGGTAATAAAAACAGAGAAGGTTAATTAATTCTTCGCTGACCATACAGAAAAGTGCTAATGTTTGCATGCCAGAATGCTGTTATTTCAGCTTTTAAAAGCTGCACTAATGAAGCAGGAGGACAACTCTGAATTGGTTTCAGGTTAGTACGATAAAGCACACATAGGTGTCAGAGCAGGAAAAAGCATGGCAAGGCAGTATATAAATAAATGCATACAGAATTAGTACAAAAGAATTAAATTACTATGAATTGGACTTAATTGTCCTAATGTAGAATTGTGCGTGTTTATAACTGTGCAGTCGAAAGCAGAGAAGTATTTTCTTGCCTTACAACTTCTTATGTTATATATTAACACAGTATTGTTGTTCAGGTACAGTTCATACTGCTTTCTAACAAGTCTTAAAGAATATTTAAGCATTTTTTGTTGTTACCAAAAATATTTTGGTCACAGAGTATTGGTAAATACCTTAAATATCCGTGCATTGGCTTGGCCCAAGCAGGGGGCAGGATTTCAGGCTGCAGCAGATTTTCCAGCCCTCCCTGTTCAGGCAGAGCTTCCCGTTGGGTCTGCTCTCGCTGCACCGTGTTCGCGGGCCGGGCGAGGGAAGCGCGGTCTGGTGTGCCATCTATTGGAACCAGGCAAAATAACCACTGCCCTTTGCGGTGGCCCTGCTTCCCTTGGCACATTAAGGACGTGTGGGAAGAGGAACCCCAACCTTGGGACCTCCCAAAGTTATTGGGAGCGCAGCACACTTGTGTAAGGGCGAGATGCTGCACGGGGTTGTTTGGGGTTAAACGGGAATGATGTTGGTTTGTCCCTGCCTGTTTTCCCGAAGGTGGAAGGAGCAGGAGCAGCCATGGCCACAGGCACAGCCTCTCCAGCAGGAGAAGTGACCGCAGGGCTGGGCACGGAGCGTGTTTCTGCTCAGTCCAGGCAGTGCAGCAAGGCCTGTGCTTGAGCTTCTCCTGCGTTCAAAAACCTGCTAAGCCAAAACATTTGGATGGCCATGATTTAAACTAGGCAGCGGCACGAGGCACTGAGCTATTATTCGAGAGGAAATCCAGGCGCTCAGCCCTCTGGAAATCAGAGCACTAAATTAGAGTGCCAAGGCACATCAACTTGACAAATTTGTCCTGTCACCCAAGGATAGGATGCGGGGATGGTGATGAAAAGATCATTCATATACGTCGTTTGGAAAGAAAACACTGATTATTTCAGGTGAACGGGATCGATCTGCGGAATGCCAACCACGAAGAAGCTATCACAGCGCTGAGGCAGACCCCGCAGAAGGTGCAATTGGTTGTCTACAGAGATGAAGCTCATTACAAAGACGAAGAAAACTTGGAGATTTTCCACGTAGATATACAGAAGAAAACGGGCCGGGGGCTAGGCCTCAGCATAGCTGGGAAACGGTAAGAATGTCTCTTCAGTCAGCCTGCCCTTCAAATGAGAAGTATTTGCCTCCTTGCCATAGGAACAGCTGTAGCTATTAAACAGAATGCAAAATAGGGGAAAACGCCATTAGCAATTAAATTTTGGATTTAAATATCTGCAAGGATGTGATGGGGTTTTGATTCTGGGTTCTTTATCAGAAAAGCAAAATCCTTGTGTAATGAAAGCTGCTCTTTCTCTTGGAAAAATGGCAGTTTGTGTTGCAGAAGGGACCTCCTGCTTTGTGCGTGGGCATGGCCACAGGAACACAGATGGAGCTGGGAACCAGCCCTGCTGAGGGCTCCTCTCCCTCAGCGCTGGGAAGGCCGGGCTGGGCTTCTCCCTTCCAAAAGGGAGAAAAAACAGCTGCTGGGATATGCCTTTGTAAATGGATTTGTTAGATCTAGATCCTACTTGGATTCAAAGTGCCACTTCCAGGAAGCTGGTGGGAAGGCTGGACCCCAAATCCTGGAAGAGGCCCGAGTGAGCGTGGAGTTCAGCACCCAGGAGCTCGGGGAACACTGAGCAGAACCGGGTAGCCAGCAACTGCCTGATAAAAGGGGATCCCTTACGGATGTGTTTCCAAACTATTGCTATTGAGCCGTTGGAACCAGAGCACTGATAAATTAAGTCCTTCCTTGCTAGAAGAGATTTACAGCGTGGCACAAACGAGTGCTCCGTCAGTCCTGGTGCACGAGGATCACACGGCTGCTCCTCCCTATTGCCCCCCAAAATGTATTTGCTCAGTTACAAATGGTCATGTTGTTATCCCGCCTGCATACGGTCAGTAAAGGTTCCACAGCCGGTTTTTGACAAGAGTGGCGGTGTTCAACCCAGGTGTTGTGAGCAGATTGCGGGCTGGATAATTAATTTGGCTTATGTAAATTACCCTGCAGATGGTTATCGTGGCCTGCAGCCCTCCTGCGCTCGCTGCTCCGCAAAACTTTCGGCGCTACTGCTAAAAGCTTCGGTTGCCACCTTAGAGGTGACTTAATTTGTGCAGCAGACTAAACCATGCCGGGGTCTAATGCACTTTGCAAAGCACCGTGGCCTTTAGGGCCAGGTTTGCCAAGTGCCACCTCTTTGCGTGACGTTTTCCAGGAGCTTACGCGGAGCTGGGGCCGGCACCGAGCGCGGCGACGGCAGCTGGGAACGGTAAGACAGCTCAACAAGGAGCTGGGGCTCATAAAGCTGCTTAGTGCCCTCTGCCTCTTGGCTGGCTGCCCTCCTGCTCCTGCTCCGAGCGCCGCTGCGGACGGAGAGCCGCAAAGAGGGATTTACTGCTGCGTAACTCGTGCGCGAGCTGCAAAAGTCCTTTCTGCAGACTTATCTCTGCTCTTCTTTTGGGGACCTGCAGGCTCATAGAGAAAAAAAATACTGAGATTAAACCATTAAGGAGAATTAAAAAAAAAAAAATCAGGGGCTGCATAATTCATGTCAGGCACATCAGGAGGTAGTTTAACACCATCTTAGGCTGATCTGCGGCTTTTTGTTCATATAAGTGCTATTTTTCATGAGTCTTTGTGGATGGTGCAGTCAGAACTAGCAGCTCAAAGGCAGCATTAGAAACAGCAAAAATGCCTTGATTTTAAAATTCAGAGGTTTTTTCGCACTCAAATACTTGAATGGGGCATATAACTCTTTCTTCCCCTGATCACAGGTTTCTTTTAATGTCTCTTAAATGAAAGTAATCTAAATTGCTCTCTCAAAGAATATTGGATTGTGTAATTAGCCATATGCTTCTTGCATTGTCAGAAATGGAAGTGGAGTGTTTATCTCTGACATTGTTAAAGGAGGAGCTGCAGACCTAGATGGAAGATTAATTCAAGGAGATCAGATTTTGTCTGTTAATGGGGAGGATATGAGAAATGCCTCACAAGAGACTGTTGCCACTATTCTTAAGGTGAGTACATAATACATTTTAAGATATTGACTTGTGGTTAGTGACACTGTGCAAGGTAATTATGCTGAAGTGCTATTTACACACAGGTAGGACAACTCAAACTGATTACCCAGGCAGAAATCCGATCTGAAATGGCTGGAAGATTCACTTAAAATCACTTCTCCATGCATATTTAGAAATGGGGATGATATAAAGTGGGAAAACAAAGACACATGAAGTATTTAGACATTTATTTGCAAAAGCTATCATGTATTTCCTGTGCTAGAAAAATATTATGAAACCTGAGAGACATACAAAGCAGAACTGTGCTGAAATGAAGTGTTTTTGGCTTTGCTGTGCTAACCTACAACTATAAAATTGTGTGTTAACTTCATTTCTGCAGAGCTGCTTGTCCTGCAGGAGTGGTTTCCTACTTGGAAGCACTTGGGCCTGAGAGAATTTGCCCTTTTCTGTTGTTAAGCGAGGGCTGCCGTATGTGAGGGGCCTGCCTTCACCACCAGTGCATGTGATTCCTGTTTTTTTCTTGAAGAGCAGGGCTAGTTTTTCCTTCCTTGTTGCATTCAGGGTCAATACTTGGCCATAAGTTTATGTATTTGAAAATTGCGAGTTGGTGATATGCGGGTATATTACTAAATTGAATCCATATGTGTTACATTCAGGTTCGCCCTTTTCCACAGCATTTTGAAGTGTTTTTTAAGTGTATGGTTTTTGGCAAGCTTTTTGTTGGTTTGTGGGGTTTTTTTAGTGAAAAATTGACAATCTGCAGAACGATGTAAGAACGGCTATGCCAGTAGAAGGATTCATACTGCCTTCAGCAGGGATGGTATGATGAACCTTAATGCAAGCTCAAATATTTTCATACTGTCCAAATAAAAACACTGAAGTTGTGACATTCACTTCCTCATGGTTTCTTCAGAATTGTTCCCCTGAAAATAAGCAGGAGAGCAGGAAATGCTGGGTTTCTCCTTAAATGCTGTGTGATGATTTTTTTTCCCCAGTGTGCCCAAGGCCTGGTGCATCTCGAGCTGGGGAGGCTGCGAGCTGGATCGTGGCTGTCGTCACGGAAAACACCCCAGAACAGCCAGGTTAGTGACAGGATCCAGAACCATTAAAGAAGTTGTGGAGGACAAGGCCCAGGGACGGAGCACCGGAGCAGCAAGCGGGGCCTGCTCCTTCCATGGGCGTCTGCGGATGTGGTGCAGTCGCAGTAATTCTCTTTTCACATGCTGAACTGTGAAGTGTTTATGGTTGTGTCGTGCAGAAATGCTGAGTAAGTAGAAGAGTTGCTCAATGAATCCCCTTTTTAAGGAGGCTCTTCCCCAGACACACCACAGATATTAAATATCTCTTTCTCAAGTGTGATGTGCAGAAATGTTTCAGGCCCACGAAACGCTGGATGCGGATGTGTATTCCGCAGCTGTTTAGCCCATCAAAACGGGTTGATTGAAGTGAAGTGTATCTTCACCTATCTCAGGGCAGAACCACACGAGAACTGCTCTGATCTCGAGGAAAACACAGGGCACTTTCCTGCCTCCCTTGGCTTTTACCTGAAGCGAGGGCAGCGATTCATGTCTTCCAGTCAGCACGGGGCTTTTCACCTCTCCCTCCCGCCGCCAGCTGAGACACTGATCGTTGGTATTGAAACCTGAGCAGGCCAGGGAGAGAAGCCAGGACAGAGGATGGAGTAAACGGGGGGGTTTTAATGGGTTTTCCTCCTGCTTTGCCACGACACTGAGGCTGCAGATGTCCCCGAGAGGAATGAGAGCCAGCCCGGCCTCTGCAAGTGCTCCCGGCGCTTCCTTCTGGAAACAGCAAGGAGGAGCCATGGGAAGCTGAGGGGTATTAATTAAAGCAGGCATGTTATCAAGGAGAAAAAGCAATCCTGGGAGTGAGGTCAGTAAAGGGGAGGCCTTTGATGTCATGTGTGAACAACCACAAAAGAGTGCCAGAATCGTCATTGTACGGAATGTTTCCTTAATTTTGTAAAGGATCGCAGCAGTCCAGGCCAGTGTCCATGAGGATGAGGTGTTGGTAAGGCCTACGGAACCTGTATCCATGTGGGAACAGCTGTGCTAAGCCCAGCCTGAAAAATAACAACTCTGACACTGGAGAAACATCTGCCCTGTGTCCAGCAGGCAGAAAGAGCAGAGGAAAAGGGTAGTGATTGCACTAAGGACAGACCGTGGCCTCGGTTACTGCTTCTGTGGTCATCAGATCCACAATGAACCTAAGCGGGAGCAATGGAAATGGGAAGCGATGGATAAAAATTGTCCGTCCAGTTTTACAGTGTAGAACTAAAATCCTATCTGAGAGGGAAGCAAAATGCTGCAGTATCTTAACATGACTCTGTGCTGAAAATTAGTTCAAAAACTGAAAACTTCATCTCCTTTTTCTTTGTAGCATAGGAGACTTTTGCAGGAAACTGGTAATTTCTGATTTTCTTTTTGTATGAGCCTTAATGGCTGTTCTTAATGCAGAGTCACTTGATAGCCTGCGTCTTGCTGGAAATACAGCTCAGGCTCCAGAGTGACTTGCTGGTTTTGAAAACCGGGTAAATGCTTCTCGTGGAAGCCAGACAGCTCCAAGTGCTGTGAAAGCCTTGGCAGGTAACGTGGATCAATAGGGGAGATTTGAACGACGGCTGCTGGCCAAGAGCACCCAGAACCACTGCCCTCCCGTGACTTTGGGGTCCATCGCGTAGCTTTAACCACAGCCTTACAAGCTGTGTGGTGCAGGACGGTGATTTCTTCCATGCTCATGGCAAAGGGCATTAACTGCCCCATGAATTGATGCCTGAAGGGGGGATCTGGGGCCTGATGTCGCAGGGACTGTTTTGAGGCTGCCGTTTGGGTCTGACTCGGCCGTTGTGGTTTATTTTCACCTGCAGGTGACTCAGCAGAGCGTCCACGGCCACTTCCGCCCCGCGCTGGCCCCGGTGCTCTCCACCCTGCAGAGTTTTGTCGGCACCAAGAGGTCTCCGGCGGACGCGTCGCAGAGGGGCTCAGGTGCAGCAGCCCGGCCCGCGTGGTACCCGCGGCTGCTCTTCGTCTGGGCACGTTGGGAAGGGAAATTTAGTACCCGTGTCTGCTTTTCCTCATCACTCTCCCAGAAAATACACTGCTGCTATTTTAAGACCCTGGACACTTTCCAGCTGATGACATTATTTTTATTTTTGCTAGGAAGGAGTAGGGAAGCAGCTTTTCTAAATTTGAAATGTAAAATTCCTGCACTCTGCTCTTCCCAGGCATCCTTGTCGCAGACTTAGGACAGGCAAGGTGCTCTCTGACATCGGAATAGGATTTCTCAGTGGATAAAACTACCACCGCTTCGTTTATCTCTCTCTCATTCTCGAATGTGTAGAAGGGTGTTGTGTAACAAGAAGGTTGCGATGCCCCGTTTGCAGTTTGCAGGATGAGCTGTGCTCGCTGCCTGCTCGTGTGCTCCCACCCGGGTCGGCTCCCCGCCGTGGGGAGAGGCAGCAGAGGCCTCTCGTGGCCGTCACACGCGTGGGTGACGTGCGGCTGTTTGAGCAGCCCCTCAGAGCCGCTTTGCAGGGCCTGGTGGCACTAGTAGTGCCCAGCTGGGTTTGGTGGTTCCAGCTTCAGCCTGGTGTCCTCGCAAGCCTGCTGGAGGCAGGGCAGTGCTGGCACCTGTTACACGAGCTGGGGACTCTGCAAAGAGGCTGCTTCTATCTGCCTTCTAAAAGCTCCTTAAAACAGTGTTAATTAAAGCTGTTAGAATTAAGGATTATTATAGCAGAGCCCAAGACCTAGCACACCATCAACTTCTAAGCTATTGAGCCCCAGTTCAAATGATTCCTTTGAAGTGTCCCAATCTTTTTCTTTATTTTTTTTTTAACATTTTGAGTAGTTTACATGTCCTGTGGATAGAGAGATGCCAGCCAGACTCCCTGGCTGTCTATTATTTACTAATACAGCACAATTTAGACCAGGAAATCAATGGAACCTCCACATTTCCCTGTGTCATGGCCTTTGTGGTAGGGACACTGTGATTTGTGAATAATAAGCTCATTTTTAACCGAGTGAAATGCACCCAGGACTTTTCCTGGGGCCGGCAGAGCGCGGCTGTTCGGGAGGTGCTGGGGAACCGACACCGGACACGGCGGCCGCGGCCGAATCCGCCTCCGTGGGAAACACAAACCCTGTCCTCATCCGGGGAGGCTCCGCTGCTGCCCCGTGATAACCCACTAGGCAGCAAGGGATGTGGTCCCCTGGCAGCGCTGTCTCTTAATTATATTATCTCTTAATTACAGAAGCTAATTGTTTGCTTCTTTATTAGGAGGAGCAGATACGAGCCCGAGGACTGTGGAGATAACAAGGGTCAGTGAGTTGTTTCCTATCGATTCAAAGAGCTGTCAGCTTTACCTGAAGTTGTGATTTTTGCCGTGTTTCTCGGAGCAGAACCACGTTACTGTTTGTTTGCTCTGTGCTGCCCAGTGTCTGCCTGTAGAGTGGGGCTGGTGCATGAGGATGTGTGTGCAGCAACCCTGTCTGTTGTGGTCTGCTCCAGAAATCAAAGGGTTCAGTTATTGCAGCAGCCTGAACATCGACCTGGACAAGTTGCTACCGTTGCAAATCTTCTATTTTTGCTTTAGGGACCAAATGATGCCCTCGGTATCAGTATAGCCGGAGGGAAGGGCAGCCCCTTAGGAGATATCCCCATCTTCATTGCCATGATTCAAGCCAGTGGCGTGGCCGCTCGCACCCAGAGGCTCAAGGTGAGTGGAGGGGCCGCTCGGTGGGGTCTGCCGCGTTCCCTGCAGCCAAGGAGCCCCGTGCACTTCGGTGTGGCTCCCTCCTTGATAACTGCCTCACAGGCTACCCCCTCTTTAACAAATAAACAAATAAAAAGCCCTTCTTTTCCCTTTTGGATTATGCTTCATCCTGGAATAATCGCAGTGGTTGCCCACATGGAAAAGTAACGTTAAGATACAGGATGTGAATGGTGTTTGGGGCCATCTGGGAGTGCATTTGAGCAGCGAGGAGCGAGGCAGGAGCTCTGCAGCGAGTCCGCCCAGGAGGAGCAGGCCCGGGGGCTGCAGAGAGCATCACCTAGAGCCCAGGCACAGCAGATACCGCTTGTTCCATCCTCAGACCCATGTGAAGAAATACAGAATGCCAAAATAAAGCAGCCATAATAATATCAGACCCCAGGGCAAGGGGAATTGCTTTGCCTGCAGGGTAACAGGGTTCCTCAGCAGGTATTCGTGTTTTCAGGAATGACTGTGGAGAATTTTTCCGTAGTTTTGAAGAAAGTTTCAGGGATCCTTCATTACAAAAAATAAATTGTTATGCAGATATATAGGAAAATTGTGTCTCTGATCCCTGCCATGTGATTCATTAGCACATACCACTACTCTCATAGTACAATGTCTTTAATAGAATTGTGCAAGAGCACTAAGTGCCTAAGGGTCAGGATCAGTTTTGTGTAAAAGAATAAAAAAACAGAATGCTAATCAGCTTAATATCAGAAGTGTCTGCTTTCCCATACTGCGTTCAGCATGTGCATACATAATCTATAAGGATATAAACTTGTATGCACACGTGCATTCAAATAAATCCTCAGTAGACAGAGTAACAAAAGGCGAAATCTCCCTCCCTTTGCTTGCAAATGGAAATAGTAAAATGGAAACCACCTTTGTTTCCTGGAGTGCGCCGTTCCATTTAAACAATCCCTATCATCCTTGTTCTGCAGAAGGGTGGACGATCACCAGCAACGCCGACTTCTCATAAAGCAGATCCTGGAAGAGAAGCGTGACTGCGCAGGGCCAAGTTCATGAGGAATTTTGAGCATTCTTGATTTTAATTTTGCCTAATGCTGGTAATTTTCCATTACTGTTGTACTTGCAGGTTGGAGATCGGATTGTCAGTATTAATGGGCAACCTTTGGATGGGCTGTCTCATGCAGATGCTGTTAATCTACTAAAGAATGCTTATGGGAGCATTATCCTGCAGGTATGGTGATAAATGGAACATGCAGCTGCATGAGGGTAGATAAATGGCACTCAGGGAAAAAAAAATCCTAAGCATCACTGGCATGAGGCCCCATGGAATTGCAGGGTGCTTGCTGATGGGAATTACACCGAATGAAAGCGAGAAGTAATTTTCATTCAAAAATTCTTTATTGCCACCTATACAGGCTGTGAGCACGATTGTATAAAAGCATAACAAAGGGAACAAAGTAACTTGTTGCTGCACATGATAAATCGACACGCTTCCAAGATACATATTTTTTTTAATTTGAAGTTAGCAAGGAACATGAAATTACTTGTGTGTTTTTGTGTATGTGCATGGAACTAGCCTGTGACCAAAGTGTCCACAGTGGTAATTCCCTTGCTCTTGAAAGGGGAAAAGCAAGAAACGCTCGCTGCATTTGGTGTAAATGATAGCACCATAATTAAGGCAATGTCGTCTGGAATTGATTATTCTACAGGTAATGAATAATACTACTTGAGGGGAAGAAAGTGTTATCACTGCCATGTTTATATTGCTAGCCAAAAGCAAGACATGATCTGCCACTTTGTCTCTAATTGCCACTTGCAATATAGTCATCTTTATTTTTATGCCTACACAAAGAAACGGGAAAAGTACTTGCCAGAGAGAATTCAAACTACTACCCCTCATTTGCAGAATTATTGTAACAATTAGAAAACAAGCTTAAGACATGCCACTAGAATCTACTCTAATTTTCTTCATCGTCACAGCATATTGGATTTGAGCACGTCTTGAGACATTGTCGTAAGCTTCTTTCTTTGCTGTGCAAAATGAGTTCAGCTATTAAAAATGCCAAAGAGGGGTGGGCTGGTAAGAAACTTGGGTTTTAGACTCACTGCTTCTTTGTCTTGTCTGTCCATGAACTGCTGGCCTGGTAAGTGCTGAGCAGCTCCCGAGCAGACGGCGTGTTCGGGAGCTTGCGTTGGAGTCGAAGGATACGCAGCAGCTGAGGGTTTCCCCTTACATTACAGTTATCATATCGTTACTAGCGTTGAGTAATTTCACTTTTCATGTCAACAGTATTCCCTGAATAGAAAATGAAAGCTTGCTGCAGAACCCAAAACTGCTGATCTTGAAAGCCGTAATACAGAATATTGCACCTCATCATGTATTTAAAAATATTCCTGATGAAGCTCCCTGTCAGTTGTTCGCTCGCGTAAACAAAGAGCTTGTTCTGGAAATGTCTCCGCGTTGTCAGTCGAGGGGTTTTCTTCCACCTTTTTGCTGCGTAGCTTCAGAATCAGCTCAATACTTTTTGCAGCTGACACGCATTTATTCTGGTAGGAAGCAGCCCGTTTTATACGTGTTAAAAACAGGTTTTGTGGAGCTGGGAGGTTGTACGTGAGTGCAGCAGCCCTGCCGTGCGCGTGGCGACGTGGTTCCCTTCTGCACTAACCACGGCCACTTCCCAATCACCCGATTGCTTTTTTATTAAAACAATGTAAGTGGAATAATCCTATCAGCGTGATAATCATGACTGATGTGTCATTAAGTAATTCTATTTATTATCAGGTTAGACCACTTCATGGCAAACTGCTCTGAAAGGTCAGATAATTGTGTTCCGTGGTGTGGAAAGGCTTATTATCAGTGCGGCCGGGGAAGGATGGCAGAGGAGTTTGCAAATGCTGTTTGCAAATGGGAGATTAGGGTCTCGGGGGAACAATCATCCCTTCCGGCTGTTTTGATGCTTTGGTTTAATTTAATTTCTTTTCTGCAGGTGTAGTAATGAGATAAGGGGAAGCTTTTTTACAAGGTTGTTGAACTCTGATACATTCTTACTGCCAGCTGAAGATTTTTGAATATAGATTTATTCTGCCCTCAGTTTATTCAGCAACAAAATATGAGAAATACTGGCAGTCTTTACCTCTATTGAAACGGGAAAGAAAACTTGATGGTGCCTTTTCTGTCTGAGCCAGGGACAGTTGTCTTGTCTGCTGGGGCCCTCAGTAAGACCGAGGAACTTGAGTCCTGGCCTGTGCGATTTGCAGGAGAAATGATGTTTTTATTTCTTCTTTGCCTTGAAAAATGCCACAAACCTCCTTGCCTGCAATTGATTAAAAGGGGAAAATATTATTGTGGAAGAACTGTGAACATACCTTTAAAAGAGGTTATTTATATGGTGGATTTTTTTATTTTATTTTGAAAAGGCGTTTCCCTTAAGCCGTGCTCACAGCAGGGAATGGAAAAAGCGCCCATTAACTGTGATAAAATAAGGCCATAAATAGTTAAGAGTAACTCTGGAAATACAGCTCCCGTCATTGGGTGCTTGTCACTGTGTCGGTGCAGAGCCCTGCGCTGTTCAGTGAGCATCGTCACGGGGAGACGGAGCAGGGAATCACTGCTGCATGTTGGTGTGAGGAAATTTGTCCTTCCAGCTATGAATGCTTGGCAGAATCCAAAAGGCTTCATGGTGACGTCTTCACATTTTTCTAGAGAAAAGAATAGAAAATCGGCACGTAATGAAAGTTTAAGAACGGTAAAACCTGGAGCGGGCATCGACCCCCGGGCTCTGCCCAGGCTGCGAGTTTCCTTGGGAGGCCAAAACGCAGAGCTCTGCGTCCAGGCAGCCCCTTCCTGCACCCACGTTCTTGGCTCGGCCCAGTGACCAACCTGTAAAACTGGCAGGGCTGTTCCCTAAGGCCTGTGCAGGTCCGACCCCTCGTTACCTGGGAGGACGGCCCGAACGCTCCCAGGTGTTTGCTGGTGTCAGGATGGCGCCAGAAAAACACGGGCTGGGTTTAGAAAGTCGAAGACTTTTTTTCTGCTTATCATCCCGAAAAAAAAAACATTTCCCGCTTCCCAATGTGCGGCAGTCGCGTTAATGCAGCAGAAGGAGCAAAGCTGGCGTTAGTGGCAGATTTAGGAGAGCAGGACTCGTATCTGCAATGTGATGGAAACACCTCGGTGCCTAGTTTTGCTGTGGACGGGCTGTTCCGTGCCCCGTCGGCGCAGACGCCCTGGCCGTGACCGCTGCGTTTCCCTCTCGCCCAGGTGGTGGCCGACACG